TATCATTGTCGTCTCTGACTTATCCGTCGTCTCCAACCTCCCTTTCTTATTTGGCCTTCAATCTCTTTTTATACACCCTCTAACTCCTCTTGTCCCATCCATGCGGTGCGCCGTGGGAGCAGGCGGCTTGGTTTATCACACATGTCTTGTTAAGCATGCCACCTGCTCGGAAACAGTCTGCTAGGAAGTCGGTGACAGGCCTAGGAAGATAAAGTCAGCTCTCTGGTGGGATCCAGTGTCCACGCGTTGCTCTAGTATTGGTTCTGCTAAAAATAGACACAATAGTATAATTTTTAAGACCATATTTTTACAAAGGAGTTCTAAAAAAGTATAATTTTATCAAAATTTACTAATTTTTACACTTTTCAAACTTTGGATGGCAAAAAAATAATATTTATAGCGATTATTAATCTATCGAATTTTAATTTATATATGTTTTTACTGTAACACTAAAATTAACAAAATTAAACTAACAAAAAATAACTATTATTATGGTTTTAGTTATTTACATATATTAATAATATATAATATAAAATATAATTACGAATTAGAAGTAAAAATAAAAATATTTTTCTACAGTTTTGTATTTCTGTAAAACTCTCGTGCTTTTTTTTACGGAGTCATTTAAAAATTTTAAGAAGCAAATTTTATAATGAACTTATGTGCATATTTGCTTATCTTTTAATGCATCTTTGTTTGCTTCACACGTCTTTGTCTTTTACACGCCGTTTTAGGGACTTTCTTCGCATGCGTGATGGTCTCGAAGCTTAGATCCTCGCCGAGTAGATCTATGGCTTGCAAAGTTATTCCGTGTATACCGCTTTCTTCGTGGAACACTCGTCGGTGAGACCCCTTCCTTCTAGCGCCAACTGTTCGAGAGCAAATTTCAGGATGCCACGTGAGGATGTGTGATTCGTCTAGGGAATGGAGTCCTGTCTCCGAGTTTCGTCCTTTTGGGTGGGAAAGGCGACAAGTCGTTCCGGGGCAGAAGCTTGCTTGGGTCTCGGTGACGGGGTGTTCGTCGTGCTCAGTCCTGCGAGCACTCAATAAAAGGTCAATCAGGCCTCCGGAAAGACCGAAAGGGGGTTTTCTCCCAAAGGTTCTCTGACGCTCAAGTCAATGAACGTCCTACCGGGAACAAATACTCAGGAGAGGTGTTTCTACAGGTTAAGGGTGAGAAGTCACGTCCTTGGATCGGGACCTCTATTTGTTTATAAGTGCTTGAGGGTGAGTTCTAAGCAAAAGGGAGAAGATGAGACTAATATAAAGGCGAGGTTCCGGGATGAGAAGGGCTTATCCGGAATGGCATTCTCCCGGGAGAACAAGGGGTTCTCCCTTGATCGTACTGCTCGTTGGTCCCGGTTGACTCGGTTTTGGATGGTCGTTCCCTCTCTAGGAGGTTCTGGATCCTCTGAACGGATCCCTCTCTTGTGTGGAAACCTCTCTTCTTTTATACTGCCATCCTCCATGTCCTGTCTTCTCCACTCAGCGTGCCAGGGGTGCAGGTGGTAATGATGATTCTTTTGCGTGTTCGGAGAAGCTCGCCAACTGCTCAGAAATAGTGCGCGGGAGTGGTTCGGCCGAGCTAACGTAGCGTGTGTCAGTGCAGGGGACAGTCTAAGATCCACGTGTAAAGCCCTTCTTGGGCTGGGTAAAATCGGTCCGAACAACTATATGTATTTTCATGGCATAGTAAAATATTATATTTTTTTACTTTTTAGAAGTTCTTTGTAATTTTGGTTAATATTTAATATAATTTTTAATTAAAAACATCATCGAAAATGCTAAATAATGTTTTTTGGATTCAATACAGAAAAATAGAAACAGTTTTCATAATTGTTATTAAACACCAAATTTTGTATCGTGTAAAAATATAATGTTTGTGGAAAGTATCAGAAAAATATGTATTTATTTTATTTTAAAATTATAATTTTATTTCTAACTCGTACATGCATGCACAAATATATGTATTTTTTTTTTAAAATTCAAACATACATTATAAAAATATATATTACAAAATCAATATTTTATTATTTTCTTTTAACACATAAAAGCCATACTTCAAGTTTTTCAAAATTAACACATAAAAGCCACACTTCAATTTTTTTCACAAATATGCAAATAAATATGAATATTAATTGCTATATAGTTGGAGTCGCATGCAAATTTATCGTGCATGCATTTTGTAAAACCTATTTTATCTAATTGAGAATAGGTCAAGAGAAGATTATATTGTGTAAGGAGAAAATAAAACATAGTATATATATTATTCAAAATATACTGTAAAATGTTTTTGTTAGTTAATAAAAATTTTGCATTTACAGTAATATGTTACTATAAACGTTAGAAAAATAAAAAACTTCAAAATAAATCAGTTTTAAAAAGTTTGACAAAAAAAAAGTTTAAAATGATATGAAACGTTTGTTTGATTGTTGTAAAATACTAAAACTGCATTTGTATAGAGACATAACATTTGCAAAATGTATGAAAAAACTAATGAACACTTAAATATTACAACTAACAATAAAAAAATCATAACTGTACATGTTTATATTTTTATTATATAAATATCTCAAGTGAAATGAAAGTACATATTAGCTCTGACAATGTTATTCCTTTAGATAAAGATATATTGAATAATGTGGACTACCCAACTGAGTTTTTGAATAACATCAAAGTTTCTGGATTACTGAAGCATTGTTTGAAATTAAAGATTAGTGCTCTAGTCATATGTCTTGTAACATTGATTCTAAGGGTGAAAGGTGCAATAGAACTAGACTTATTATTACTGAAATGGCTCGATATGTGGTTGAAGGTAGAATTATAATGAGAAATGTGAAACTGATTGGTCAAATAGTTCTTATCCCTAGGATATATATGACACCACCATACACAAAGGTTTCCTTTCAAAATGTGTCGTAGACCATTTCCTTTGGATTTAGTTTTCGTAAAGACCATCAACAAAAACCAAGGACAATCACTTGAGGATGTCGGTTTGTTTCTACCTAGACAGGTTTTCTCTCATGAAAAACTATATGTTGCATTATTTAGAGTTAAGTTTAGATCCGGACTTCAAGTTCTCATAAATAAAAAAAGAAGCAATTGTGCAAAAGATAACTATGAACATCATTTATAAAGAAATGTTTCAAAATCTTGCTTAGTTTTTATATTTTTTGATATATTTTAACTACACTTTTATATATGTTTTCATGTTATCTATTTATTTAGTTATCATATTTACACTTTATATTAAAATCTATAATACTTTTCATTTAATATATTTTTTATTATTATATATTTATAACTTTTTTTTTTAAAATATAATTAATTATGTATAACTAGTAATAAATTAATATACATATTAATCATATATTAAGTACTAGGAGAAGGTCCGCGCGTTGCGCGGATTTGTGATATTTTAACTATTTTAATTTTATTATATTTTTTAGTAAATTTTATTGGTAAATATTAGTTTCTAAGTTGTAAATACTCTTTAAATTTTGTTAAAAAGGTTGGTGAAATAATAGTGTTTGGTTTGAACCTGTTAGAGAAGTGATGCCGCTATTAGGGATGACCGAAAAGAAAGTCCTCGAGAGTAGAATCCATATTTTGATAGTGATGGCGGTTTGAGGTTGGATGCAGTAGAGAAGTAAGTAGTGAGGCCCTAATGTAAAAAGATTTTCTGAAAGTAAGTAGTGCATGATTTTCTGTTTGATTGCCACAAAGAGAACATAAGGAAATGAATCTATTTTCCCGATGGAAACAATGACATAGTCAGCTTTTATAAATTAAGAAAATATAAAATAATGTAAAATAAGAAACATAATAAAAGAGAATCTAGTGGAGAAAAAGAAAAAAATTGAAATATTATTTTTGTATTTGTTTGGTGAAAGTGAATACAATGGAAATAGGAAAACAAAAGTAAGACATGTCAATTTCTAAGATGTTATGTGACAGCGTATCAGGGTTGTTTATGAAAAGAAAATCTTACTAATTTTTGTTTGTGTTTGTTAGATAAAAAATAATCGTTTGTAGAAGAGAAAAAAAAAACTAAAACTTTCTTTCTGTGTTTGTCTAATGAAAGAAAATTTAATAGATATTATAAAAAAGTGACACATATCAATTTTTTAGATGCCATGTTGTAGCATATCAGAGCTGGTTTTGAAAAAATACCTTACAGATTGTCGTTTATGTTTGTTAGATGAAAAATAACTTTTTTGTAGAAGAGAATAAAAATCTTCTCCTAATAATTTGATATATCTACAATTTCAAACAAAATATCTGGCAAGATGAGCCTAAGATTGGAAGCACATTATTTATTTGAGGCCTATTGTAAAAAATCTAATTTTGTTTTTATAAAAGCAAATAATACATGATTTTCTACTCATTTGGCCAGAAAGAAAACATAAAGAAATAAATCTATTTTTTTGTAATAAAACAATATCACAGCCAGCTCTTAAAAGTTTTGAAAATCTCTTTGAATAATATGAAATAAGAGGTATGATGAAAGTGAATAGTGCTGAGAAGAAAAAAAATGACACATGATCCGATTATGTTATAAAAAAAGCATAAAGAAATGAATATATTTTTGCGATGAAACAATGTCACAATCAGCGTTTAAAAATTATAAAAAATATTTTTAAATAATATGAAGTAAGAGACATAATGAAAGAGAATATTGCTGAGAAGTAAAAAAAGAAAAAAAAATATAATAACACATTCTCTTATTATATTATATAAGAATTGTTTGAGTGAATTTTCGTTTCTGTTTGTTGGATGAAAATAATCATTTTAAAAGAGAAAAAAAACTGAAGCTTTTTATCTGTATTTTTTAATAAAAGAAAATGTGTTTTTTAATAAAAATTTTATTAAAATTGTAGAAAAAAGTGACACATGTTAGCTTTTAGATGCCATGTGGCAGCATATCAGAGCTGGTTCAAAATAATAATTTGTAAAAGTGAAAAAACTGAATATTTCTATTTATGTTTGTTTAATGAAAGAAAATGTGTTTGTTTTAATGAAAGAAAATTTAATAAAAATTATAAAAAATTGACACATGTGAGGTTTTTATATGTCACGTGGCAGCATATCAAAATTGGTTCAAAAAAACTTTACTTTATTAGAATATATATAAAATGTTTTATAGTCTGCATATATAACAATAGTTAATATAATAATACATTCATTGGATAGAATTATATATTTATTACAAAGAGACTAAGTTTATCTTTCATTTTCTTGCAATAGTAAATGTATATATTTCATACCTAAATTAGATTACTTTTGCATGAAACAGCCATCAATCTGGCTAGCATTGCTCGACTTTCCATATACGTTGCTACATTCAACTATGGGCTTAGTTCCATCGATCGTAAAAATATCAATATGATTTAAAACAACGTCTTTGCAATATGTGACTTTGCTGCAATCTATCTTTACAATCTCATCAATTCGTGAAGTTCCAAAAACGTCTGTAAATGTCACGTTGCTAATTGCCACTGCTGATTTCTGTTAAACACAAATAATACTTTAAAAAATTAACCCAATTAAAATTTCAATTTTTTCTATTTTACAAAAAACAAATGGCATATAATTTACCTCAACACCAAGACGTCCCTTATCTATATAGTTTTGGTTGATTATAATTGGATTTTTTGTTTCTATGAGCTCGATGCCCTTAAAAACTATATTTCTTGCATATCCTTTTCCATTCTAAACAATCAACATCAATATAAATCAGTAAGAAAATTATATTAATATATTACCACTTTATTTAGTTTTTATATAGACAAATATAATAAACAAATTTTACCGGCCATGTCTTAATTCTAGCTCCATTATCAGTCTTATTAAAAATGCAATCAGCCACGAGAACATTCTCAACTTCAGATTCTTCTCCATCTTTTCCAAGACTTCCCACACTGTAATTAATTGTAAAGATACAAAAACAAAATTCAAGATAAAATCTAAGAAATCAATACTTATATAGTTGCCTTAGTTTATATAAAATAAATATATGCCTTATTCCATGTCCAGGACCACAAAGCATCCTTGTGATGTTGATATTTTTACTTCCACTGTTTATAGCTACACAATCATCTCCTGAAATTTTATAAGAAATTAAAATCTAATTAACCATGCATTATGCCAATTTTAGATTGAAATTCTAATGGTTGCAAAACAATACATATACGTACCGGTTCCAATTTTAGTGTCGAATATGTTGACATTACTTGAATCTGCGATATTAACTCCATCGGTGTTAGGACTCAGATCAGGTGCAACAAGTTCTATCTTCGTTATGTCAACATCTTTGCAGTTGCTGATCGAAATATGGTTTCTCGGGCTATTGACTGAGGTTATTCCAATTATCTGAAGATTACTGCATCCTTGAAATCGTAATTGCTACAAAAAATAAAATAAATAGAAAACACTTTCATTATGAACTTTTCGATCTAGAAATCAAAGTAATAATGAAAAAAAAAAATATACTCACAGTTGGCCGTTTAGAAGCTGACAATCCTGGCTGGATATATAAAAAAATATGAAAACCATTAGATTCACATTTGTTTTAATATATGTAATTAAATCAGTTTCATCTCTTTAACTCTATATAAACAAAAAAAACTCACCTCCCAGAAAGACGAACCACGTCCATCGATCATTCCTGAACCGGTGACTGTTAAACCAATTATGCCATTAAAACCAACCCATATTTGTGTCTCAGAGTCTGTCCATGCTGCTTTGTTGATAGGGGCAACGATTTTTCCATCAAACTGCAAAATTGATCACCTATACATTTCATATCCACATATAATTTTTCAATCATTTTTTTTTATAGCATAAGTTTAAATCAATCTAAAAAATATATTGATATTTCGATAATGTTACCTGAACTTGTACAGAAGAAGATTTGCAAGGGCCTTGAAACACTAGAGGTTGTAGTAAAAACGTATTCTCTGAAGGAATAAGAAGTGTTTTGTTTTCTCCACCAGAACTACACATAGATTTCCATGCTTCTACAAAAGCCTTTTTCCAAAAGAAAAAAAAAACAAAATCAAATCATATATATAGTTAGAGGAGCTTCTCTCCATCGAGAGTGTCCAAATCCACATTTTATTTTATGTTTTATGGACTTTTAAAAATTTTGGATTTACAAGCATTTATATCACATTAATTTAAAAGTGAAAAAAAATTACAAACCAAAAATCTATAAATTTTTTACAAAATTAATAATTAAGGATCAAAGAAAATATGAAAATGTAATTGGAAAATTTGGGAAAATAATCAAAAAAGAAAAAAAAAACACACAAAAAGTCAAAGAAAGCTCACTAAAATCTATATACAAAAAACAATAGATATTAAACATCAAAACCTATCAGCAATGTTTTCGATAAAAAAATGAATATACTCTAATGAAAAAAAGAATATACACCCGAATGACTTCATACTAAAGGGAAACTATAAATTAAGTCTCCAGATGACATTAGTTTAAATGTAAAAAATAAATGCTTCTTCTATATATCACAAAACTATAGATTCTCTACAAAATAAAAATCTATTTTGAATAAAAAATAAAAAAAAGTGTATGAGATCGACTACAAAATCTTTTTATTTATCTTACTCGAAATAAACCATATAAAATATCAATTAAATAAAAATATTTAATATATAGGCATAAATACTTACACCATCGTATAACTATATGATAAAGTTTTTTAAAATAATTAATATATCATCATTTATATTAGAAAAACATTTTACAATAAGTTTACATATTTTATGATAATAAAAAAACTAAAAAAATATATGGAAATATATATATAATATAAATTAACAGATAAATCTGTGGATTAATTTCTAGTTTATAAGAATTAGTAGGGAAATAACTATAGTTTTGTATCAAAATATTATATACTTATCGTAAAAAGCAGTAATAAATAAATAAATAATAATAATTCATACTCAAATTTTGGTTTGATTATAACTTTTTATATAATGAATCTCGGAGAGTTTTTATGACATCTTGTAAACTCTCTTAGCATAACCAGTCTTTTAGCACATTCAATTACTGTATTTGAGTATATGATTCCAATTCATAATTCATCTGTACTACAAGAAAACTATATATGTGTATATACAGCTTTTTTTCAACTTCAAATATATGCATGGTAAAAAAATTGCATATAAACTTCAATTTACCAAAATCTCTATAATGTTTTGCAATATAATACCTTTGAATCATCTGTAGTACCATCTCCCTTAGCACCGAATTTAAGCACATCATAGATTTGCGCATTTACAAGTCCACAATAGAGCAAAGTCAATACCAACACTGCAAATTTGAGTTCCTACAACACATCCAAAAGCAATATTGTTAGAAAGAAATATAAAATTTAGTTTCAGAGAGACTTTATTAGATTTCGTACATACCATTGTGTGATGATAGTATAAGATTGAATATAAAGCTAGATAGTGTGTATATCAATGTGTTATCCATCACGTATTTATACACTTACAAATCATGAATATAGTTTGAAACTTCACATATTTTATTCCTAAATTTGTGAATCTTTATTGTTGTTAACCCAAATTTTATGAACTTTATGAATATTTGTGTGCATATAAGGTCTATTGTCTATCTCAATAGATTACATTTAGAAAAAAATCAGAATATAAAAATGAAAATAGAAACAAAAGATTAAATAAAAAAGAATGAAGTTAAAAAAAAACTGAATATAAAAATATCAAGAGAAAATAAATATAATAAACATTGGAAAATTCATCACAATGATTTGCATTAATAGTATATTTATTTAAAAAACTAAGAGAATTAATTCTAACTAAAACCCAAAAATATAATTGCATTAGTTAATAGCATAAATATTTTTATATATATTTAAAACCCACAAAAAATTTACTAATTAAATATTAAAGTTTTTTCAACTTTCAAAAATCAATACTATAAAAACAGTAATATCTCTCTAATGAAAGACACGTCAGCTTTTTATGTTACGAGAAGCTGACATATCAGCAAAATAAAAAACCAATCAAAACATTTCAATGATACATATTATATTATTTTATATGCTAACTTTATTATTTTTTATTAAATCCATTCAAAACTCAAACAAATGACATTCTTTAAAAGCCCAAAATAAATAGATATTTTAAAAATTATAAAATTCAAAACTCAAACAAATGACATTCTTTAAAAGCCCAAAACAAATAAATATTTTTAAAAGTTGTAAATTGCAAAAAGAAATATATATTACTGAATGTTTGCATATTATATTTTTTATTATTGCAAAATAACTGAAACATACATATTTTTTGTTATTGCAAATATCTTTAAAAATTATTTTTGAATAAAAAAAACTATTTCAGCATTTTTTTAATGTAGAGCCGAAATCGAATTATTGAATTTAAATTAGGTAGGCGTTTCTTTAACTATTTTATTAAGAGGTATATTTTCTAACTTTGAAATATATGAAGTGTTTTTACTACTGCCACGCATGTGTGTGCTAAATTAGTTTTTTTTTATTTCGAGTAAAATAATACCAGTCTCAAACTTCTTTCTTCTCTTCTACTCTTTTTGTTTACAGCAAACTAATAATACAAGTATCTCTTCAGAAGAAATCTCAGCTTTTTTAATCTTTAAAAGACTAACACATAATCAAAATCAAAAATCAGTCAAAACAAAATAATAATACACATTAATATTTCATATGAATCTTTGTTATTTTTTTTTTGCAAAACCCATTACAAAGCTCAAACAAGTCAAAACTCTTTTAACACATCATATTACTATTTGATATGGTAATTTGTTTTTTCTTTTTTGCCAAACCCATTAAAAAGCCCAAACAAATCGATACTTTTTTTTATTTCACATATCTTTTCCACGTTCGCAGCTCCATATCTCCTCCCAATCATCCGCAAAAAACCTCAATTTCACAGCCACCAACATTAGACATACTATAATTGCCTTCGTTGCCGGTATGGTGTTTACGGTTTTGGCTGGAAAATGTCACTTTACAGTTTTGGCGGGAAAAGACAATTTTATAGTTTTGCACAAAAACGTGAAATAATAGTTTTGACGGAAAGCACAAATTTATGATTTTAGCGGGAAAAAATAATTTTATAATTTTGGTGGAAAAATACGATTTTATGGTTCTGATGGGAAAACACAGCTTTACGGTTTTGATGGTAAAATAAGATTTTACTATCTAGGTAGGAAAATGCGATTTTATGATTTGGATGGGAAAACCTAATTTTACGATTTTGGCAGAAAAACAAAATTTTACGGTTTTGGCAAAAAAACGCATTTTTACGGTTTTGTTCCAAAAACGCAATTTTCCAATTCTCGTGGGAAAACACGATTTTACGGTTTTGGCTGGATAAATTTTGATTTATAATTTTTTTTGATGAAAGATACGATTTTGCGATTTTAGCAAAAAAATTCAATTTTGTTGTTTCGACCAAAAACACGACTTGCAATTATTTATTGTTTTTTAGAATAATTATAAATAATATCATTTAGGTCATGTTATTCTGATAATTTAGAATTTGCATCTACATGTTTTATGTAGTTAATAGTATTTTAGAATTTTGTTACTTTGAACTGATTTGTCTCCGTTCAGATTATTCGATTTGGTCCATCCAAATGAGTTTAACAAATTTGCCTAAATTTTTAAAACTCATTTGAATGATCCATCCAGCTATTACTCACATTTTATCACAAAACAAATAAAATTCTCATCTCCATCTAGATGGTTCATCTCGATGGAGAAACAAACAGACCTTCATTCAAATGAACCATCTAGATGGAAAAACAAATAGGACACAAATACAAAATTTATTATAAATATAAAATAAATATAATATTTATTTATAGTATAAAAATATTTTTTATAGTAAAGTATATAAAATTTTGAATAATATCCTGTAGTATAGCGCGGATAAATTACCTAGTGTTAATCAAAATAATAAACTATTTAATTTAGAAAAAATTAACAATGAATACTCATCTAAAATTAAAAGGGAGCTAAACGATATTTTAAATGCATTAATAGTTTAAAACTTTTTTATATAAAACCCAGAATATTATATTTATATGTTTAATTGAATTAGTATTTTATTGTTTTATTAAAAACCCAAATAATAATCATGTTATAATTGCATTGATATTTTTGTTTTTTTTTTTTATTTCGAAACCCATTAAATATTTAGTAATTAAAAGGTGAATTTTCAAATGTTAATAAAAATACTAAGCGTTTAATTTAGAGAAAATTAACAGTTAATACTCATCTAAAAGTTAATTGAGAGATAAGCCATGATTTAATTGCATTAACAGTTTTAAAATTTTATATCTAACTAGATGAGTACCCGCGCGATGCGCAGATTTTTTTTCACAATATAATTTATTAAAAAGTGTAGTTATAATTTATTTTATCGTATATTTAAAAAACAATTAAAGGATATTGTGAATTTGAATAAACATACAATACATATTTACATATTATGTGGATATTAACTATATATGTGATCAATGGTTTATTGATAAGAAAATGTAAAATATATTATACCTTGTATATATCAAATATATTAAATGGATATAGTGCAAATCAGAAAAGTACTATATAACAAAAATTAATTAGAAAAACTCTCTAAGCACAAGATAGATAGAGACGACTCTTTTTAATAGGTCGTACTTGTTCACGTAGATTTACACAATAGCAATGCCATGGTTTTATATTTTTATGAGCTTAAATAATTGATTTGTAATTTTAATTTATACAGCTGCATTAAATATATTATAAATATATATATTATGACTTTGATATCTTATTAATTTTAAAATTATTAATAGATCAAGTTTGAATAATGCATATAAATTATTAGTTTATAAAAAAATTGTTTTAAAGTTTATTATAATATTGTATAAATTTTTCTTCTAAATTATTAAGGTTCAAAATATCAAATAATTATTATTTTTATATTTGTATAATTGTTTTTATAATAATATCTTATAATATTAATCAAAAATAAGAAAAAACTCTTAAATATAAAACATAAATTTTGTTAATGATTTTTAAAAACTACCACAAAATAGGTATTCAATAATTATTTATGGATATTATGTATATATTGTTATTAAAATATATTATCTAATTCTTCATATTTTTCATATTCTTTTAGAATAATGATTAATAATATATTAAATTTATGCATTAACAGTATTTTACATAATTTGTATCATTAAATTTTTAAAAAATGACACATGTCATTTCCACAATAAACCAAAATGATGAGGTATCACTCATATGGAGAGAGTTGGCCATCTTTTATAGTATAGAATCCCAAATATATATATATATATATATTAGTTGAAAACCCAAATCACTTATCCAATTTGCACCCCATAGTTTGTTATATATAAAACCTAACAAATATTTACTAACTAAAAATTGAAATTTCAAATTTTAATAAAAATTATGTTTTCAATTTTAGAGAAAATTAACAACTAATACTCATCTAAAAATTGTTAAAGCTAAAACCATTATATCGTTTTTCTATTTCTAAAGAGAAACAATTGTATATGCTTATAAAATTTTAACAAAATATATCAAATCCATTATTACATGCAACTTCATCCATCTCAGCAAACTATACAAACCAAATCAAACCATTTAAATTACATAAACTAAATCAGAAATAAACAAATAATAACTAAATCAAAACAAAGCAATACAAAAACTCAAACTTAAAAAGAAAACTAAATCTTTAACCAAAACATTAAATACATAGAACTAAACATAAATTTAATCAAATATTTCAATATATATAAGCGTCCAAACTCCAAAGCATAGAAATTTAAAATAAAAATTTCTAAAACTCAAAAAAACAAAATAATTACTAAAATTAATATAGTAAATTTATATTATTTAAATAAATAATATTTAAAAGCTGTGACCAAAAAACTCATCTATAAGAACATGTCATAATAAAACAACATCAAATGATAAAATTACAATAAAATTAAGTTAGAAAATAATAATAATAATTAAGCTAATGCCAAACAAAGCGAAATATATATGGACCTTTATAACAGAAGAGTATGTGTAAGAAATTAAAAATAAAATAAATATAACATTACAACGAATGAATATATGTGGAGACTAAATATTAAATAACACAAACTAAATATAATAATAGTATTTATTTAAAAATAATACAGTACTAATCAAATAATATTCAATATAAGATCCTAAATGTGTTTACTAAAATACTTATGATAGTTAAAAACAATAATTTATTGAAAATACAAAATAAAACTTCATGACATACAAAATTATAAAAATTAAAATAGCAGATGGCAAAACAAATTTTACATTGAAGCAACCTGAAATCCGAATAATAAAATCTTACAAAAAACTACAACTAAAATTCAACAATAATTAAAACTTGCG